TTAGCCGGTAAGTCCGATGGGCTTTCACGAAGGAAGGTTTAAGGCCAAAAACTACTTATTTCAATGCACCATCGTTCCAAAGATGTACTTTCTATAATCTGTCAGCATTATCATTTGCATATTAACAACCAAATTTTCATTCATGTGGGGGATTGTTGAACAAAAATAATTTTTTAAGTGTAAAAATTGAATTTTTAGTCGATTTTGAGCCTAAATTAAAGTGGGATCCATTCGTTGTTTCAAGTAAACTATAATGAGTTCATATTCTACTTCGTGAAGAGAATAATGTAATATATTCACTTGCTCAAATCCAATAAGAAATGAATGAGAAAATAGGCTCCAAAGTGACCCTCTTGAAATGTGAAAATAAAGATTGTGCAATATGAAATTTGATACCAATCCCACATTGATTGATGAAGAAATTCTACATGGGCATATAAAGACAAAATTTGCTCTATGGGATTGGGCCCCAAGAGGTACCACAATTTTATGAGTGGAGCGAGCGCCTATATGCCTTCAATTTGACCACACACGCGCGTGCGCTGCCTGCCATACCACTCCACGACTCGACCCAGCCGGGCCGACCACAGGTGTAGTTTAGACCAAACGCTATCTTTTTGGAGAAAATTCTTTTAATTAATTGGACGTGAATTTCTTAACCCGAAATTTAATTTCGGTATCTATTGGATCACACTAGTTTGGATTTTTTCATCCCTCTAGTCTGAAAATTGAGTTGTGTTTGTTCATATGGAATAGTTACACAAGTGGTGTCTATTGGCTGTTGTATTTGTCTTTTGGGTTGTGTCTTTTAGTATGGTGGCTGTTTGGAAAGTCACCAAAATGTCTATAAATACCCAGGCTCATTACCATTTTGCATTAATTCATTCATCAGTCCATTTATGGCATTAAGGCTGACATTATTGCATTCCATTTTGACATTAAGGTAGTCTACATTTTGGAGAGTATACAACACAATTTTTGATTCGCTAGACGAATAGATTGGAGTGCTACTTCTACTTGTGTATAGATCATTGTATTATGGGAGGCAGACGCTTGATATTCCATAAACATTGTGCGTGGGGGCGAAATCTGTCTTAAGGACATAGTGTCAAACACTAGCCTGATCTACTTCAAATTCTGTTCTACAAACCAGTTAGTATTTATATTGATTTGAGAAACAGTTCTGTGTAACTATTTCGGTAGGACTGTTGTAACTGTTTTGTTAATTATTCTGTAATTGTTTCTATATTATGTGTAACTGTTTCACTCTAGCTCGTTATTGTTTTGTTATACATTACATGTTTGAAATCATAAATTTTAATAAGTGATTTTACTATATTTAGAATACCACATACAACGGAATCCAGGGTCTCTCTTAAATCGGCTAACTTTCTGGAGAATACAACTAGCTAGATGTTTTGAGTTAGAGTTCGAACTTGATATGGAGAGCCATCAAAGGACAGTAAGAACTAAAACTAAAACCAAACTGCGCTCCTTTTCCTTGGTATGAGAAGGACTAAAAAAGTTAAAAACCACGACTTTGTAAATCCTGCCATTGTAATTCTTCAAGTTTGTAATTGTATAATTTTGATTGAATAAAAAAATGACAGTTTAAATTGAGTAATAGAAGTGGTTAGGAGTGTCTCACACAGTGTTTTAAACCCGACTTGGTGCCGCAGGTTAACCTGAAAACACAAGTACCTGAACCAGGCTGATTTTTAATCGTTTGAACAATTTGCCCAAAACCTGACTTGGCCTAGCATGTTAACCCAAAAAACAAGTACCTGAACCAGACTGATTTTTAATCGTTTGAACAATTAGCCCAAAACTTGACTTGGCCCAGTGTGTTAACCCGGAAAACAAGTACCTGAATCGGGCCAATTTTTAATCCTTTGAACAACTAGCCCACCACCAAATCGTTCAAACCGGAGTAAACCAATTATTTTTTGAATAACCCGTTAAAAACCAGACGGTTTCCTCAAAACTTCTTTCTATCTAAAAGTGTACTAAATTTTTTGTTAAAATTTAGAACTCAAGTGGCCCATTTGGCTTGCCTCATCAATAATAGTTGACAGAAGTCATCAAGCTTTGACCAACTTAAACTTTTCTAGACAGAATTGCTATTTTATAAATACACTAGAGGTAACCCGTGCCTGAAGACAAGGTATAACGAAAGTGATAAGTAATAGATTTTGGAGAGAAAATTCAATGTGAATAGTTTTAAGAGAGATGTTGGTGGCCGTTGGATGAGTCTATTTAAGACCGTTAGATGAGCTTATTGAAACCTATCCTATTTTATATTATAGATATCCCCTTGCTCTTCTTGTGGCTTTCTGATGTGGAACGAGAATGTTAGTTGATGTTCTATTTTTCTTGCCTTGCTGTATACTTTAAGTTTTTTTTTTCTTTCAATTTTTCTTTTGTTTTTTTTATCGTCACTTACAGGCCCAATTGATATTAGGTCAGACCTAATTAATGAGATAAGCCCAAATTAGCTAAAAAGAAAGTCAAGTCCCAATCCAAAGTTTAAGGAGTTCAGGAGGGTTAGCACACATGGGGAGTAATTACTGGGATAGCAACTCAAAGATCAAGACAATCTCTAATTATACCTATTCTAGTTGTAGCTATCTTCCCCAAAAAGTTAGTAACCTACCCATCACGCCATCGCCTTAACCAAGGCTTTGTGCCTATAAATTGTAAACTTTTTACACATGAAGAACACACCTTTTACACATCTCTACATCCCACACAACTATCTCTCTCATAACTACCTCACCACACCTAGAGTTTGCATGTGCCCTCTTTCCCCTCAACTACTTTATCAATAAAGTCATTCGGCCATTGTTGCCGCCTTTAAAATGGAGTAGGCCACTCTGACCAAACCACTCTATATATGTGTTACTTGTGTGAATCTCATCTTTATATTTTTTGCATTTATTACCTATATTAATTACTCGACAAGTGGTGTATAAATCCCCTTTTGTGCATCATCAATCACATTGTTACTATTTATTCTAAATATTCAATGCTTATTAGTGAAATTTTTTATGCCCTAAACAAATTAATGAATTGGAGATATTTTTTATCCGTCTATTGCATTTACTATAACATCAAATATGTTATTTTTATAAATATTATAATATTGTAGCATATTCATTATTATTAATAATTAATTTTTATTATTAATTATATTATTTATTCGACCGATTGACCCAGGATTAAACTAGTAACCCATTGACTTAGTTCTTTTACAGAGTTGATGTCTAGGTGGGGTTTTAAAACTACAGTGTCACATCATCACACTTGAGTAGCATTTGTTTAAATTGCGTAACAAAGGTGGTCAGGTGTATCTCAAGTCATCACACTTGAGTAGCGTTTTTTGAAAATTTGAGAGTAAAATGATACAAATTACAAACTTAATAGATCAAAGAGATACAAATGGCAAACTTGAATGACCAAAGCGATCTCTCAAGTGTGGTCAAAGCAAGACCATACCCTTGTCTAACGATAAATGGTTGATGTTTAAAGAGAACGTTTGCTTCGGAATGAAATGAAAAAAAAAACAAGAATTTGGAAAAAGTGTATACTACTCATCATTAGCTAGCTCATTGACAAAATTAGTCCAGATCGTACATGTTTGCCCTTGGTCTACGCAGATCAGGGTCCCAGTTAACACGTGAAGAACCTCACTTTTTGGTATACTGATAAATGGAATCCCAATGTATTCTTTCTATAGGCGGCTTGCTTGGAAGACAAGAAATTTGAACGTGTCATAAGGAAATCTAGCGCAAAGCAAAGGAATCGGATACATAGCTCTCTATAGGAACCGCCCTGTGCAAGAAATTGTTATGAACTGACAAGGTCTAACCCCTTCCTCCTTGGAACACCATCTGAAAGAGTGAAATCAAATTATCTTTTTTTCTGATTTTCATCCTTACGTTACGACAAAAGTTGAAAACTTGACTGACTAAACTAACAAAAAAAATTAGAACTAAAGTGATCCAACCTCATACTTGAGAGACTATTTCTCTGTTTTACCATTTGCAAAACTATCACTCATCCAACATACACATAAATACCTATAGTAGAAAACATATCCAGTAAATTGAGTCCAAACACAAAGTTAACACTACTACATAGATTCATCCCATTACAACTAAGGCCATAAATCAAACTTCCTATTGATTTTGGTGAATCGAAATATATGTAGTAGTCCTGAACACACACAATAACCCATAAATCAAGCAAATCAGCTGAACAAAGAAGCATATTTGAATCCATCATTTTTGCATCAGAGCAACAAACAGAAGTATACACAATTATCCGACTTGATTCGAGGATACTCTACAACTTTCTGATAAAAACGATTCAAAAGTTCATCAATTATCTCACTTCCAAACTGCTTTGTTAGCACACCCTCCACAACTGCTCTTATGTGCATTGTACACATCTGCATATCAATCGGTCCTCAACATTCAATACTGTGTCTGTTAACTTCATTCTCTCAATGCTAAAACACTCATTTCTTTCCACCAGTCTTGCCATCTCGTTCGGAGTAGTAGTATACACAGGCAAGTTGAATGCGTCCACCAGAACTTCACTGACTAATCCATGTCATATGATTAGCCATGAGATTAGTATCGAAACCTTTGTTAGTGTATTTCAAAAAAATCACAAGATATACATTATAGGCCAATGCATGCCATAAAATTCATAGTCGCTAAAAATGGTATTTGTTTACTTTCCTTGACTAGATTATAACAAGATTTTCAGACCATCAATTTTAAAAATTCGATAACAATATAGTGTCTCTTCCACACTCCAAGAAAAAAAATGTAAACCCAAATAAAAGCAATGAACTTTTTTATGAAATCACAATTTATATCAAAGCAGAACATATACCTACTAGATTGCTCCCAAAACATTCTCTGAAGTTTGATGAAATCGAATTTCAGATTTTACTATATTATCCCACACAAATTTTGTTTTTCATTTGGATCCTAAATAATATCAGAACTCACCTCATGTGCCATATCCATAAGGCTAGATCCCAGCTCATCGTATAAGAAATCGCCTGTGCTCTGAGAACGATGAAACCCATCCTGGATAAATATCATGACAAGTAGCATCCCTCCAACTACTATTTCTTTAGCTCTAAAGTTCAAGAAGTTGTCCATGTCCTTGGCAAATTGAGCTGCATCAGCATTAGCTACTTCATTGGAGGCCCTAGTGTAGTAAATTCTCCCCTTATTCCATGCAGTAGAGTCTTTGTCTTGTACCTCTTCTGGGACCTTGGAGAGCCAGTGGAGTGTATAGGAGGCATGAACTATATGGAGAGAGGCCTCGGGGAATAACCGGCCATGGAAAGAACCTGGCACACTAGCAACAAAGTAACATTTTTTGGGTGGGAGGGTGGGTGGTGAAGAGGGTGTTGAAATCATTTGTGGCATGATCATTGAAGAACACTTGGAATTCAGGTAGTTCAGAAGCGAGGGCTTTGGACTCGTACTTCCTCTCCACAGCCTTTAGTACAGTTTGAATCGCAATGAAGGTGTTTGGGCCAACTGAACACTCTAAGTCCGTTACGCGAAAAGTGTTTGAAGTGGAAGAAAACTTCTCAATATCAATCTTCTCAGCAATTACCTCGTCGAGCTTCGCCTTAGTGATCACTGAAGCTTCTCTCTACAAGTTTTGAAAGTTGACAGTGCTGAAATTTGGCTAAAAATTCTATTCTCTTTTATAGGATTTGAGTGAATATCTTTCCAGAGAAAGGCTATCTAGTATGTGAGCACTTAAGGAGGGTATAGCAAATTTGGCTTCACACACCTCACTGCACTTGTATTTTTTATAGTAAACTACACAAATGACCATTAAACTATGACCATTGTATCAATTAAGTCCCCAAACTAAGTTTTGTGTCAATAGAGTCCCTAAACTTAAAAATTTTAGCAATTAAGTCCATGAACTAATTTTTGTATCAATTGAGCCATTAAGCTCTAAAATTTTAGCAATTAAGTTATTCTGTTAGTAGCCGTTAGATTTTTGGACGAAAAATGTTATGTGTTCATCACATGGATAACATATTAGGAGTATTTGAGACGGTTCGTTCGAAACCTATCAAACAAAGAACCTATTTTTTTATACCCTTCAACAAAAATCCTAAACCTAAACTTCTTTCATACCCCATCAAATGAAGCAGGTCAACAAAAATCCCAGGATACATTCATAAATTTTTGACATCAAGAAACTCAACCAATTGGCCAATATGAGAAATTTTACGAATGAGACATCAATGAAGATGTCTAATTAACTATTTATTTGTCCTTTAAGAGAGAGATTCTCTCCATGACTTCCCTTTTCTTTTAATTTTGCTATTATAAACTATTACAGAGGTTCTCTATATAACTTCTCTTTTCCGATAATTAACTATTAATTTTTTGTTAATCTTATTTAACAGAGAACATTGAATTTTATTTGGCTAAAAGCTTGTCATAGGTCAAGAGTTATTTTTGTATTCTATTGTGTGGGTAATGATGAAATTATAGAGAATTTCCAATATATATAAATGTTAACAAAACAACACTAAACTTCTCTTTGGGTACAATTCTTATTTTGCTATTGCTAACCACTCAAACAGTTTGGAGTGACAACAAACTTGGATTATAGATAACTAAATTCAATTAAAGGAACACTATGCTTAAGTTGAGTTGCATGATTCCTCTTTTAAATTATTAGGTTAATTTAAGTCTGTTATGCCATGGCAAAAAAGAAAGAATGTTTGGTTGATTTTGTAACCAGAGTGCAACAACAATAGTTATCACCCACGCAACATATTCACGCAATAGTCGGAGAAGATGATGACAAGCACAAACGCTCAAGTGGAAAGCCAGAGTAAGATTCTCAAGATAAAAAGGATGTGTCAAGAAGGCATCAAGAAGGGGTCCAAAAGCAAATTGGAAATATTCAAACTTGAAGATAAGGAGTTCTTGAATTACCTAAATCAACATGTGATAATTCTCCTTTTAGTTTTGTTGAAGTTATCCAAATCATGAGTTTATTGGTGAACTATTGATTCTAATTCTTGGTTATTGACTATCTGCGTAATTATTTTTCGTGAATACTCAATAATGTATACCAACTAACTTATAACCGACATTTAACTAGCAAGAGAGTTCAAAAACTTGTCTACAACAGCTGACAAAGACACGACGAATCTGTATGATTTATTGGAGTTCATGATTTTTAACGTCAACAATGAGTAATATTTGATGCTTGAAATGGTCCACGTGCAGTACACGTGTGTACCACCTACTGCCCATCCATACACCAGTGAAATCAAAGCCAAAGCCAACAAAAAATAACCCTAACCCTAACCCTAACCCTAGCCCTTCCTCCACGCCACTCCACTGTTCACCCTACGACTATCCACTACCCAGAGAACAACCACAACTAGGACATCAATCCAGGGCACCGAACACCTAATCGGTGTGCCCCATGGCCAATCTGGCTGCTGGTGATGACCCAACCGCCGGCCTAAACCCACCACCCGATCCTCCCCCTCTTGGCGCACACACTTATACTGGCAGAGTTATCCACCACCCCATTGCCAGCGACTTACATCACGTTGACCCCGCAGATTACTCTTAATCTGCCCATCCCATCCTCAAACCCGACCAATTTTCCACAACTAACACCATTCGCCAACCTCCTCTAGCTAAACACCAACCTGACTGGAACCTAACACAACTTGCTGCTCCCAAACCAGCCATACCCACCACCCATATTTCTTGGACCCGACCCCCCAGTTCTACCCTATACCCGACCCCGGCCACAAAAGTCATTCATAGATGTTTTGATGGGATTTGTCACCCCTGGCTTCGATGCCCCCACTCGTCAAGTTCCCCGCCCTGTCACATAGTATTGGGGTGTCCCGAGAATTGATTTTTCTGATAAGGAGATTGAGAGTCTCGCAACTCCTTTTAGGTTGTCTCTGGTGGGCAAGTTTACCTGCGACCGACCTCCGATGGAAATGATCAAGAGATTCATTCAACTTAATGGATTGAGGGGGCATGTTAGTGCCTCTTTGTTAGATAGCCGACACGTGCTCTTGATGTGCAACCTTGAGGAAGATTACACCCGTCTTTGAGTGAAGTAGGCTTGGTTGGTTTATGGCAGAGAGATGTGCATGTTTAAGTGGACTCCACAGTTTTGTTGTACCGAGGAATCGCCTATAGTTCCTATATGGGTTTCATTCCCATATTTATCAGTCCACTTTGTACGCTCTCAGGATGCATTATTCTCGATAGAATTGGTGATTGGGATGCCTTTACAGGTTGACTAGGCCACAGTAAGAGCCAACCTTCAGTTGCCAAGATGCTGGTTGAGTATGATGTCACATGGCGGCAAGTTTCGAGGATTAGGATAGGCAGACAAGAGATCAGATTTTGGCAAGATGAACTCTACAAGGATGTACAACAGTATTGTTCTTGGTGTTGGCATTTAGGCCATTATGTGGAGACTTGCATCACTCACTCCCAGCATTGGGAGGAGGTCAGTGGAGACCGGCCAGAACATGGTCTATGTGATGGCCAGGAGAGGACTAGACTATAGGAAGGAGCACCCAGTCAGAGTGCTCCAGCCCCTACTTTTCCTCCTAGGAGTACCGAGCAGGTTAGAGTATCCTATGGGGGAGTGACAGATGTTTCTTCCCCTAGGGCTGTTGCTATCGCTCGGGAGTCTGCCTTAATTGCTAATGTCCAGATTGTTGTTGAGCCGCGAATTGTGGATGAGCCAGTGGTTATGGTCAGTTCAGATACTATCCCTGCTAGTGCTATACAGGAGCTGAGTTTGTGCCTTGATCCTATAGTAGACACAGTTTTTGAGCTAGTCTGTGATGGACCTGTCACTATCCCGGCCGTTCGTTTGACTATTCGTGAGTTTCGAGGGGTTTAGAGTCCCCCCCAGTTGTGTCAATTTCTGAGGATACTAGTTTGAGGCGTAGAGATAAGGGTGTTTCTAGTCGGACTACAAATTATACCACCTTGATTGATATCCCTCTCAACCCTGGATTGTATTTTGCTGGGGTTGAGAGCCACTCTAATGGAGATATATCCTCTGATCAGTCCTTGGGTGGGGATGTTGGATCCTTTTCTGACTCGCAGAAGGGCCTTTCTCAGCCTGGAGGAGCTTTAGTGCCTTATGATGCCTCACAGTTCGGTTGGTAGGTACCGGTGCGTAAATCTCAGCGTATTGGTAAGGGAGGTCGAGCAGGTAGAGGAGACAAATGTGGTGGGCTTGGTCGAGGGACGATTAATGTAGTTCTTCCACTCCTTCCTAATGATTAGTACACTCATATGGAATATCAGAGGGATCAGCCAGGCCTCTTTGATTAGAAGGCTCAGGAAGCTGATCCGCTCACACCACTTATCGATGTTCTATATTTTGGAGCCTTTTATTGACCGAGATCGATTGGAGTCTTTTAGGATTCGTTTGAACATGGAGTACAATTTTTGTTCTATTTCACGGAAGATTTGGATCTTTTGGTCTTCCCCTTTCTGGTTGGAGGTTTTTCAGGATGATGGCTAGGTGGTTCATTGCCAAGTACGACATTCTTCCTTACCAGATCTAGTTTTTTTTTCTTTTGTGTATGCTAGTTGCGTGGCTTCTATTTGGCAGGGTTTGTGGGATGCCTTGACATAGTTTGGGAGCATTCATGATGGTCCGTGGATGGTTGATGAGGATTTCAAAGTTGTTGAGTCTCATTCTGAGATCTGAGGGAGTCATACCCAGTCTCAGTCCGCTATTGATGCCTTTTTCCTAGCTTTGTTGTCCAGTAATTTGGAGGATACTGGGTATGAGGGTACTCCATTCACATGGACGAATGTACATACTTGGAGGATATTGGATAGAGTAGTGGTGAATGCTCAGTGGAGTTCTTTTTTTTTTTGTGTTTCGGGTTGCCCACTTGAATCGGACTTGTTCAGATCATTCACCATTGTTGATCTCTAGAGATTAGCGTCAAAGTAGAGGGTCAAGTCGGTTCAAATTCCTTTATACTTGGACCAGGCACAGAGATTTTTTGGAGGTTGCGCGGCAGAACTAGACACTTCTTGTGTTTGCTTCGGGGATGTCTGCGTTTCAATCAAAACTTATTCGGTTGAAACAAACTCTGAAGGTTTGGAACAAGGAAGTGTTTGACAATGTGTTTCAACGAGTTTAGGAGGTCGAGGCTGAGATTAGTAGGAGAGAGGTGACACATGATCAGTCAGGGCCTCCTTCAGATCGGGCTACCCTTCATCAAGCCAGGGTTGAGTTGTAGCAGACTTTATAGTGTGAGGAGTCCTTTATGAGACAACAGTTTCG